GGGTTGATAAATTTGATTTCCATTGATAATTTTTGTGTGATTTTGTTGTCAGCACATTCAACTATGTAAAGAAAAAAGTATTTAATAAGATTATTTCATTCATTCAGATCTAGGATGTGTTATTTTAGTGTTCCCTTAATTTTTTTGAGCAGTGTATATTTACTGTTTTATTTTTGACTTTGTTTTTTACCCCATATGTAACTCTGTGTTGTTGTTGTTTTTATCGCACTGCTTTGCTTTATCTTGGCCAGGTCGCAGTTGTAAATGAGAACTTGTTCTCAACTGGCTTACCTTGTTAAATAAAGGTGAAATAAAAATAAAAATATTTTTACCTTCGCAACCCGTCCCGCTATCCGGGGTCCTTGGGATGTCCCCCCCCCATTCAAGTCAATTAGCCAACTTTGACAAAGTTGCCTCCCAATAATATGCCTACATAATTCACGTCACTTGAACCATGCATTGGACAACATGTTTTTTTTAATGATATCACATTTGGCAAAGCTGGCTGACCATAATAATAAATTAAACATTACTGTCACTTGATTTTGCACAAAAAAAAAAAAAAAAAACTCACAGATAACAAACACAACCTAAATAAGATTAATATCACATTTTAAATAAGTAAATCAAAAGCACACATTGTAGTGTGTAGTTTTTTCATTCCCGACATTGGGATTACAGTGGTAGTCTTAAAAAAAACACAACAATACATATTATTATTTTAATAAGGGAACCTTCCATTCATTACAATCCATTTTCCCAAGATAAACAGGATATGGAAAACTCCCTCTAACCCGCGCCTACACCAATCCAATGCTTTTAGATTTGTGGGGAGTAGTGAAAGAGTGCACACTTCATGAGGAAGGAGAGATAATTGAGACGTAGCCACTGTATACCATAGGAGTCGTAGACTATTTGGAATAATACATTTCTCCCCCTAGGGTAGGGTTGGTGGATACCTCCCCCTGGTATACTGAGCAGGGTAGGGTTGGTGGATACCTCCCCCTGGTATACTGAGCAGGGTAGGGTTGGGGGATACCTCCCCCTGGTATACTGAGCAGGGTAGGGTTGGGGGATACCTCCCCCTGGTATACTGAGCAGGGTAGGGTTGGGGGATACCTCCCCCTGGTATACTGAGCAGGGTAGGGTTGGGGGATACCTCCCCCTGGTATACTGAGCAGGGTAGGGTTGGGGGATACCTCCCCCCTGGTATACTGAGCAGGGTAGGGTTGGTGGATACCTCCCCCTGGTATACTGAGCCAGGGTAGGGTTGGGGGATACCTCCCCCTGGTATACTGAGCAGGGTAGGGTTGGGGGATACCTCCCCCTGGTATACTGAGCAGGGTAGGGTTGGGGGATACCTCCCCCTGGTATACTGAGCAGGGTAGGGTTGGTGGATACCTCCCTGGTATACTGAGCAGGGTAGGGTTGGGGGATACCTCCCCCTGGTATACTGAGCAGGGTAGGGTTGGGGGATACCTCCCCCTGGTATACTGAGCAGGGTAGGGTTGGGGGATACCTCCCCCTGGTATACTGAGCAGGGTAGGGTTGGGGGATACCTCCCCCTGGTATACTGAGCAGGGTAGGGTTGGGGGATACCTCCCCCTGGTATACTGAGCAGGGTATGGTTGGGGGATACCTCCCCTGGTATACTGAGCAGGGTAGGGTTGGGGGATACCTCCCCCTGGTATACTGAGCAGGGTAGGGTTGGGGGATACCTCCCCCTGGTATACTGAGCAGGGTAGGGTTTGGGGGATACCTCCCCCTGGTATACTGAGCAGGGTAGGGTTGGGGGATACCTCCCCCTGGTATACTGAGCAGGGTAGGATTGGGGGATACCTCCCCCTGGTATACTGAGCAGGGTAGGGTTGGGGGATACCTCCCCCTGGTATACTGAGCAGGGTAGGGTTGGGGGATACCTCCCCCTGGTATACTGAGCAGGGTAGGGTTGGTGGATACCTCCCCCTGGTATACTGAGCAGGGTAGGGTTGGGGGATACCTCCCCCTGGTATACTGAGCAGGGTAGGGTTGGGGGATACCTCCCCCTGGTATACTGAGCAGGGTAGGGTTGGGGGATACCTCCCCCTGGTATACTGAGCAGGGTAGGGTTGGGGGATACCTCCCCCTGGTATACTGAGCAGGGTAGGGTTTGGGGGATACCTCCCCCTGGTATACTGAGCAGGGTAGGGTTGGGGGATACCTCCCCTGGTATACTGAGCAGGGTAGGATTGGGGGATACCTCCCCCTGGTATACTGAGCAGGGTAGGGTTGGGGGATACCTCCCCCTGGTATACTGAGCAGGGTAGGATTGGGGGATACCTCCCCCTGGTATACTGAGCAGGGTAGGGTTGGGGGATACCTCCCCCTGGTATACTGAGCAGGGTAGGGTTGGGGGATACCTCCCCTGGTATACTGAGCAGGGTAGGGTTGGTGGATACCTCCCCCTGGTATACTGAGCAGGGTAGGGTTGGGGGATACCTCCCCCTGGTATACTGAGCAGGGTAGGGTTGGTGTATACCTCCCCCTGGTATACTGAGCGGGGGGGGGGCATTTCGAGGCACTTCTGTACATCAAGAAGAAATCATCTTGTGGTCCTCTGTAGCTCAGCTGGTAGAGCGCGGCGCTTGTAACGCCAGGGTAGTGGGTTCGATCCCCGGGACCACCCATACACAAAAATGTATGCACGCATGACTGTAATTCGCTTTGGATAAAAGCGTCTGCTAAATGGCATATTATTATTATTATTATTATCTTGGTAATGGTTTAAATATTCGGCACACAATGAAATCACTGCTACAACAGTAGGCTATAAATGTATTTCATAGTGTTGTTATTATGACGAAGTTTCACCAAGGACTGTACTAACTAGTACAACGTTTACATAAGGAGTGGTTGACGATACTTCAACAAATAAGTAGTAATTTGGTTGCTACAGTTTTTAAAAGCTTCTCTAACTTCTGAAAATATTATGAAGCCCGACTGTTTAAAAAAAAAAGTGTTTTGAAATTAGTATTGTAAATAGCACTAAGTGTTTTACTGAGTGGCATCCAAGAGACCAAGCAAAATAAGGGACGATCTGATGTCACAGCAGTGACGCAGTGCAGTTTTATTGTATGGCTTTTTTAATGCACACGTTCAATTAACCGTACTGTTTTTTTTTATTTATGTCTGGTCAGCTCAGAAATATGACAGATTACATATAATGCCTGTCTATGTGCCATTAGTGATCTGCAGCTAGTTTGCATCAGTGGTGTATTCATTAGTGGCACGCGCCATTGCGAACAAGTTTCTTATTGGACAAGTTCACGTAGTCCCACCCCATTTTCTTCCGTGGGGGGGGGGAGGGGGTTTAAAAACACTGACCCTCTAGAATGGACCTAAACATTTTTAAAAAGTGCTTTACATTAAGGTTTTCATCAATGTATACATTCACCTCTACATCATGAAGTAGTAGACTATCATCCGGAGCGGGGTAAACAAAGCCACAGATTTAGAATTCTGAATATTGTTCTAATCCTACACATTCAGTTGAATAGCTTTGTTTAAATATTCCATATGTAATGTTTAATGGGGAGCTAACATGGCTGCCATAGAACGTTGAGGTGTCGTGTAAATACATCATAATGCAGAAACGTCACTGTCCCAATTCTCTAAATATAATGGCTGTAGGATCAGGTCATCTGTGAGTTGCAGTCTTAACTGTATGTCTAGTGTTCTGCCAGAAGGTGTGTGTGTGTGTGTGTGTGGTTGTTGTGAGATAAAGAGATGGGGTTACAAGGACGGACGGATAAAGAAGGAGGGGATATGTATGAGATATTCTCTGGGATAGCTTGGTTATGGCTGGTCCACTGCTCCCTTTCTAAAGAAGAAGATAAGAGGACAGGATAGAGTGCGAGAGAGAAAAAAGAGAGAGCAAGGGATTCACCAACCATTAGTCAGTGCAGGGTCGGTTCCATCTCAATTATGAGCTGCGTTTACATATAATCGATTGGATGTTACAGGACAATATACAGTATATTGTAGCCTGGGTACCTGTCTGTTTGTGCAATCATGCCACTCCTTGTCATTGCCAAACATATGACACAGAGTAAAAGGAGTGGAAAAATAGCACAAAGCAGGTCTGGATTTCAGGCTAAGTCTATTGCACATTTCACTCTTCTTCCGATGACCTGCTTCAACAACAGGAGCCACTGGCATTAGGGGAGTATTCATTAGTGCACAGCGTAGCAAACCGCAGTGCAACAAAACGTTTTGCAACGAAAAATAGTTTATTTTGGACACATTCTGGTAGGTTCCTGTCCCGTTTTCATTATGTTTGCTTCCGTTTGGTTCCTAGTGAATACACCCCAGGACTAGGGGTGTCTAGGGTGGTTAAAGTCATTTCAGTGGAGGATCCAGACCACTTCTTCCAAGGCTGACAAGATAACATATGTTATTGTGTTGTCCATCGTTTTCAGTGCCTTTGGTTACGAAGTGATCTTGAATTAGGACGTGCCTGGGAAAGTGTTTGAAACTATCCATCTTCGCCACATAAAAAAAGCAAAGTGGGGGAGGGAGGGTGCCGGAGGTTTGCGCATCGCTAGTTAAGAGTTAAGTCGTTCATTTTTCCAAACAATTATTTCATTTAGGTTTCCGCTCATCTTTTTCCTTCTTCAAAAGTCTATAAAACATCAGCAGGGTTTAAAAAGCTTGGTGAGAACTAAATCTCCTTGCGACAGCCTTGCCTTGAGAAGTTTTATAATATATAAAAACAACAACAACAAGAAGAAAACACAAAAGAAGTATGAAGATAAACAATTGGTAAAGCTGGGGCTTAAATTAAGACAGCGGGGTGCGTAGCCTGGTCCCAGATCTGTTTGTGCTGCCTTGCCAACGTTTGGCTTGACAATGACCATAGGAGTTGGAAAGAGCACAGACAGATCTGGGACCAGTCGAAAATGCGTGGCTTGTTAATAAGGGCCTTTAGTGTGTCCAAAGATCCCGATGGGGAAATGTTTGACGTGTGACGACCACTGTGCTGCCAACTGGAAAAACTTGACATCATTCCACTCCACGCCATCAATCAGCACTGGAAGAAGAGAGAAGATGAAATAATAATAATAATAATATATATATATATATATATATATATATATATATATATACATACATACATACATTCCTGAATCACAGAATATAATATATTACAATACAATATTATTTTAATTTTTAGCCCCTTTTTCTCAACCAATTTCGTGATTATGATCTTGTCTTATCGCTGCAACTCCCCAAAGGGATCGGGTCGAGGCGAAGGTCGAGTCATGCGTCCCACGAAACATGACCCGCCAAACCGCTCTTCTTAACACCCGCCCGCTTAACCCGGAAGCCAGCCGCACCAATGTGTCAGAGGAAAACACCGTTCAACTGACGACCGAAGTCAGCCTGCAGGGGCCCCGGGGCCCGCCACAAGGAGTCACTAGATGAGCAATGAGCCAAGTAAAGCCCCCCCCCGGGGCCAAACCCTCCCCTAACCCGGACGACACTGGGCCAATTGTGCGCTGCCCTATGGGACTCCCGATCACGACCAGGTAATGACACAGCCTGGGATCGAACCCGGGTCTGTAGTGACGCAGCGGCACTCGGGAGGCCCACAATACATGTTCTTATACTAGTTCTTGGGTATCTATTTAATACCTGAATCAGATAGACTTGTCAGCATCTGTTTAAAGACAAGATGGTCTAAACTCTTTTGGGTATAAAACGAGTCAGATGTAAACACATGAATGCTAACGTGACTAGATTTGGTTGTCTGGGTCCGGAGATTAGGAGGAGTCTTACCCCTCAGCATGGTCTGCTGGTGCTTGGCTGTGCAGATCAGTCGACTGATGCCCTCGATGACCTGGCTCTTGGACTCCATGTCCTTGTCTTTAGTCTTCTTTGGCAGGAACATGACTGAGAAGAGAGAACAGAAGAGTCAGGATTCCTAACTTAAGATGTGAATGCTAATCATCACAATCAACGATGACGACAAACGTTTTTTTTTATTATTTTTTTTCTCGCAAAAACTCAAGTTAGGATTCGGGCTTTACATTTCAAGATAATTGTGATTTCATTCATGTCCTTCGAATAGCTTCACTAATCAGTGATAACAATATATACAGGAGTGATTCCATTCATTAAAGGGAGTGTCACGGGGAAACCCTACACTAGTGTGTCTGTGTTGAGTCTGCAGTTGGCCTTCATGAGGAGCGTTACGGTCAATCCCAGCTCTTAGCCATAAAGATACTTGATTTACTTTATTTATAACCTTTACCCTTCTTGTTCTTCTCCTTCATGACGACGGTCATGGACATGGTGGTCTGCGGCTGGGCCCCGGCCTGGGGGAGCCTGCCGACCTGCAGCGAGCGAAACGTACACTTCAGAGTGTTCTTAGAGGAGGAGGAGGAGGAGGAAGAGTCCCTCTTCTCCACGTCCCTCTTCCTGTCAGCCGGGCAGGGAGCCACCCAGTAGTCAACCTGTAGTCCCATCAGCTCCCCCTGGGGAGAACTACAACACCCAGCAGACATCACACCACAGAGGGAGGAAGGGGGCATGAGGAGAAAAGGGAGAATGGTACAAGATGGGGGGGGGGGGGGAAGGTAGAAAATCAAATCCGTTGGCGAAATGAACAATATGGACGCCACAATCTAAACTATTCAACCCCCCCCAGACGGTTATCTTCTCTACTCCTCCAGAAGCAGTTGTGGTGGTGTACCTGTACTGTACCTGTATGAGCTGTGGACAGAGGGGGAGGAAGGAGGGGTGGGCGAGGCTTCCTTCAGGGCGGGGGACACCTGAGGAGGGGTGGAGGAGAGGAGGGCCGTCGCCATGGGAGCTGCATCGTCCGAGTCACCTGATGAAGACACAGGGATCACAATCATCATCCGGCTGGTACAACACACAGGGGGTACAATTACATCAAGTGATAGATTAGATTAGGGGCCAGATTCCCGGGACACAAGAGTAAACCTATGCCTAGATTAAATGTACAGGATTAGGTTTAATTGGTGCCCAGGAAACCCAGCCCTAATAAGTATACTGTGTAACCTACAGTATCCCATCAAAAAGTTCTCATTGACGACATGAAAGTAGTAACATGCAAACAGCCATTGGTGTGAAACCCATCACTAACCTGATGTCGCTGATGACTGTTCCACCATTCCAACGTTCACCATCTGGGGAGGGAGGTCAGGGTGAAAAATATGGACCCCATGGACACAAGTTGAAATGATCAGGTTGAAGGATAAAAATGTATCCGTCTCTACAATAAGGTGAAAGGGGGAAAAAAAGCCACTTACCCCGATGAAGGGGATGAACCTCTGACAAGAGTCCTCATTTGGGCTGTAGATTGGACAGTGGTACCAGGAGATATCAGACAGACAGGAGACATGGGGAAACAGGCACAGAGTGAGCATGTGCAGAAGCGCCAACCTATCAGGATGGAAGAGGGTTTGTCTAGTGTCTAGTCCACTGAGACGAAGGCTTTAAGAGCACCACGATGAGGTAGTCACCTGGAATGCATTTCAATTAACAGGTGTGCCTTCTTAAAAAGTTAATTTGTGGAATTTATTTCCTTCTTAGTGCGTTTGAGCCAATCAGTTGTGTTGTGACAAGGTAGGGGGGGGGTATACAGAAGATAGCCCTATTTGGTAAAAGACCCAAGTCCATATTATGGCAAGAACAGCTCAAATAAGCAAAGAGAAACGACAGTCCATCATTACTTTAAGACATGAAGGTCAGTCAATACGGAACATTTCAAGAACTTTGAATGTTTCTTCAAGTGCAGTCCCAAAAACCATCAAGCGCTATGATGAAACTGGCTCTCATGAGGACCACCACAGGAAAGGAAGACCCAGAGTTACCTCTGCTGCAGAGGATAAGTTCATTAGAGTTACCAGCCTCAGAAATTGCAGACACAGACACATCTCACCATCAACTGTTCAGAGGGGATTCATGTGTGAATCAGGCCTTCATGGTCGAATTGCTGCAAAGAAACCACTACTAAAGGACACCAATAAGAAGAGACCTGCTTGGGCCAAGAAACACGAGCAATGGACATTAGACCGGTGGAAATGTGTCCTTGGTCTGGAGTCCAAATTGGAGATTTTTGGTTCCAACCGCCGTGTCTTTGTGAGATGCGGTGTGGGTGAACGGATGATATCCGCATGTGTATTTCCCACCGTAAAGCATGGAGGAGGAGGTGTTATGGTGTGGGGGTGCTTTGCTGGTGACTGATTTATTTAGAATTTAAGGCACACTTAACCAGCATGGCTACCACAGCATTCTGCAGCGATACGCCATCCCATCTGGTTTGGGCTTAGTGGGACTATCATTTGTTTTTCAACAGGACAATGACCCAACACAACGCCAGGCTGTGTAAGGGCTATTTTACCAAGAAGGAGAGTGATGGAGCGCTGCATCAGATGACCTGGCCTCCACAATCCCCCGACCTCAACCCAATTGAGATGGTTTGGGATGAGTCGGACCGCAGAGTGAAGGAAAAGCAGCCAACAAGTGCTCAGCATATGTGGGAACTCCTTCAAGACTGTTGGAAAAGCATTCCAGGTGAAGCTGGTTGAGAGAATGCCAAGAGTGTGCAAAGCTGTCATCAAGACAACGGGTGGCTACTTTGAAGAATCTCAAAAATAAAATATATTTTGATTTAACTCTTTTTTTTGTTTGTTTACTATATGATTCCATATGTGTTATTTCATAGTTTTGATGTCTTCACTGTTATTCTACAATGTAGAAAATAGTAAAAATACAGAAAAACCCTTGAATGAGTAGGTGTGTCCAAACTTTTCACTGGTACTGTATATGAAATGGATGGTTGTATAAAAATATTGGGGGGACGAGACGAGACGAGACACATAAGCTCATGTAACCCAATATTGCTCTGATATTGTTCAAATTGAGAATACAAAGTAGTGAATTGTCTGCCCTGCATACAGAAACAAACAGCATTAGGATATCTCAAAGCATCTTGGGAAATATAGACCTGTAAACGCAGCGATACAGCAGGCGGAAAATACCAACTATGAATATTCGTGATGAATGTAAACTTCGCTTTTTGGTAGCTGATCAATAGACAACTTTCCAAGTCAAATGTGCTCTCATTCAGTGCTGCCTGACAGAAATACAGCAACATATTTGTTGATGATGTTGCTATTGTAATCAGCTCTAAGGAAAACACCCCCTAAACTCAAAAAAAGTGTAGAATAATGCCTTGTTGAAAGCTGGTGGGCCAATATTGCAGTTACACATGTTTTTTTTTTAAATGTTGTGGCTATTGTAATTTTCTCCAAAGGAAAGTGGGCTCAAAGAAACTGAAAACTGTCCTTTTTTTTTTCCAGTCAAAGGTTCCTCTGTGATTTTTATATGTTTAGCCCCTCCTCTTGCAATTACGTTAGCCCACGTACAAATGTATATATGTGTGTGTCGAGTTGTGCTATGTCCCTCACAACCAACGATTCTTAAAATCATAGCCCGTGACCTAGATACACTCTGATTTAACCTCTAAGTAGCCTGAGGTCACCCTCTCCACATCTCCTGCTGGGCCTGCCCCAAGACCGTAAACAACGCCAACCATCCACAGTTAATATCGGCCAAATAATCATCCTACCCGACTTCCAAAGGAATATAAAGCAATATGTAGGATGTGACCTGCAATACTTTTTTTTGTTGTTGCCACATTCAACATAGAAAAACTCCATCCACAGGCCAATTAGCTGTTGGAAAGATCTAAGGGCAGGTCTGTTTTGTGACAGCCCTTTCACAGACTGTCCTTCACAACCAGACAACCACAACCATCCCACTACAGGAGTATCCCCAGCATCATTCAGGCTGAGATAACATCCCTACTGCCTATAGCGAACTGTGGTAATGGAAACTGATCACCACACAGCCCCAATACCCCGCCAGTCATACTTTATTATAGACAGAAACCCCCCCCGCCTCCGCCCCGCAGGTAAAAAAGCTGGATGTGGAGGTCCTGGGCTGGCGTGGTTACACGTGGTCTGAGGTTACTTTGCCTCCTCACCCTGTTAGAACACACTCATGTCCAACTGGGCCTCACAACCGCAGACCACGTGTAACCACGCCAGGCCAGGACCTCCACATCCAGCTTTTTTACCTGCGTGGCGTGGCGGGGCGGGGCGGGGCGGGGCGAGGCGGGGCGTTTCTGTCTATAATAAAGCCCTTTTGTGGGAAAAAGGATTCTGATTGGCTGGGCCTGGCTCCCCAGTGGGTGTGTGTCCATGCAAACCTGCCCAATCATGTGAAATCCATAGATTAGGGCCTAATGAATTTATTTCAATTGACTGATTTCCTCATATGAACTGGAACTCAGTAAAATCTTTTAAACTGTTGCATGTTGCGTTTCTATTTTTGTTCAGTATAGATTTAGTGGAATCGCCCCATTGTTGAGTGAATGAGATTAAAACATGAACACACATTGAACAACTAGTTGGCTTGAGCTATTCAAACACCAGAGGCATGGCAGAGCCACTCGTAGTGCTAGATATACCAAGAGCCTTATGAAACCCCTTTAAAGACAGAATAACACATTTTAAAATGAACAAGGGCTTCTTATATGCAGGCTAAAGGTGTTTGAAGCCTAATCAGCAGCGACAACGAAGCCAAAAAAATACATCAAAGCCCGACTAAACAGAGGAGCTTTCGGTCGTCTCCGTCCCATATGGAGCTCAGTCCACTCCGTCCCATATGGAGCTCAGTCCACTCCGTCCCATATGGAGCTCAGTCCACTCCGTCCCATATGGAGCTCAGTCCACTCCGTCCCATATGGAGCTCAGTCCACTCCGTCCCATATGGAGCTCAGTCGTCTCCGTCCCATATGGAGCTCAGTCCTCTCCGTCCCATATGGAGCTCAGTCCACTCCGTCCCATGTGGAGCTCAGTCCACTCCGTCCCATATGGAGCTCAAGTCCACCTCGTCCCATATGGAGCTCAGTCGTCTCCGTCCCATATGGAGCTCAGTCCACTCCGTCCCATATGGAGCTCAGTCCACTCCGTCCCATATGGAGCTCAGTCCACTCCGTCCCATATGGAGCTCAGTCACTCCGTCCCATATGGAGCTCAGTCCACTCCGTCCCATATGGAGCTCAGTCCACTCCGTCCCATATGGAGCTCAGTCCACTCCGTCCCATATGGAGCTCAGTCCACTCCGTCCCATATGGAGCTCAGTCCACTCCGTCCCATATGGAGCTCAGTCCACTCCGTCCCATATGGAGCTCAGTCCACCCGTCCCATATGGAGCTCAGTCCACTCCGTCCCATATGGAGCTCAGTCCACTCCGTCCCATATGGAGCTCAGTCCACTCCGTCCCATATGGAGCTCAGTCCACTCCGTCCCATATGGAGCTCAGTCCACTCCGTCCCATATGGAGCTCAGTCCACTCCGTCCCATATGGAGCTCAGTCCACTCCGTCCCATATGGAGCTCAGTCGTCTCCGTCCCATATGGAGCTCGGTCCACTCCGTCCCATATGGAGCTCAGTCCACTCCGTCCCATATGGAGCTCAAAAGTATACAGCATCAAAACTAAGATCAGGCTCTATAACAGCAATGTGAAGTCGCTGCTTTTATATCTGGCCATACAAGATCTCGGCCATATTGGATTCAGAATCAAATTGATTCACACCAACAGTCTTCATAGGCATGAGTGTGAAAAAATGCCTAATTTACTAAATGCATATTTACAGGTGATTTAACCTCTTACCAAATGTTATTTGATTTTGGCAGCCATATTTGATTTTTCGGATGCCATATTAGATTAGAGGCTAAATATAATCTGAGATTGCCCCTTTGACTTAATTGCAAGACTAGGGGTTAAAGATACAAAATCTTTTAAGGAACCTTGGACCCAAAACAAATGTAATTTTGATGTCTGAGCCCATGTCTGAGCTTGTTTTCCTTGGAGCCAATTACAATAGCCACAACATCAAACAACTTGTAACTACTTATTTTTATCAAGCAGGACCATACACCACTGAATGAGAGCACATTTGACTTGGAAAGTTGTCTACCAAAATGTGTATCGCAGCTCTGTGTTTCCAGCTCTATATTTCCAAGATACTTTAAGATATCCTAATGTTTATTTCTGTATGCAGGGCAGACAATTGACTGTGTTATGCTAACAAGGGGTAGGCCTATGCTTTTTTTGGGGCCATTTTCTTTAATAAAAGGTACGCCTATGGCAAACTCTCTCATACCCTTCACTGACACGGGTGTAGGTTATTTAAAGAGTGCATGGTGGGTGGAGGAATTGACTGACAAATCTATGGACATAGCAGCCTATAGCCTAATTTCGTCTGTCAAACAGGTAGGCCTACCTCTTATTCCTTAAATAGGCTCCAACATAAAGCCCTCTTGTTGTTAGTAAAGTCGAATTAAAATGAAG